CTACTTGGTATGATGGTTGGACGTCTGATATAATTGTGACCAGGAATGAACTTTAGTAAAAGCATAGTGAATCAAACCAACTGTCAGTTACTGGCCGGTGAATTGTTTAGGTGGAGATAAGCTTTTTAAAACATAGGCTGATTAATAATTTAAATTTGAAATATTCACTCACTATATGCTGACTAAACGTTATCTATAAAACAATGACTAATCGTTAAACTTAATTTGTAACACTAACAAGAAGTGTATTTCGTAAGCCAAACCTACATTCAGAGTCACCGAAGACATTATTAAAACCCTGAAAATACTAGTCTACTTTATTTACAACAGTGATCATGATGTAGAACTCTTTATATCAGACATTAAACAACACCTTCAGTCTACTTTTGGAATTCGCAATGTGAGATTTAGTTAACATGTGACCGAGCGGAATTAAATTTGTTGAGCTTAAATGATTTTGACCTAAAGAAAAATTAACAGATAGAGTAGCACCAAATGAATTTATTATGACATCATGGATTCTTTCCATATACTCAATACTTTATTCATATTGAAAATGGATATGAATGATTAGAATTTCAATCGCTATCAGAAATCTTTGGATATAGATTTAAAATGTTATCTATACATATGGTTTTGACTAAGCTAAATTTATTTCCTTTGTCATATAGAAGAACCAGAGGTGATGTGGTCACAGTTTTTAAATTTGCGTCTGATATGCCCTCATTTCTTTTGTTTTCCAAAACAAAAATTTTATAAGGATAATCTAAAAATGTTTAAATGCCCAGAACAAATTACTTGTCAGCTGGTTATCAACATTCACATCGAATTATCAACGAATAGAATTCATTACCTCAACACGCGATTGAAGCAACATTTGTCGACTCTTTTAAAAGAAAATTGAACCAAATAAAAAACCACTGCATCGAGAACTAACAGAGACCATCCAGACTTCAGTCCTTTCCAAACTGAAACTGAATAACTATCTAAAAAACACAAAGGGATGAGATAAAAATAAATATATAGTGTAAACTTTGTACATTGACTTAAAAAACAGTATTAAAGAATGTAAGTAAATTTCAAGAATTGACTGAGTGAAAATTACGAAACAGTAATGGCTTTCCACTTGTATGAATACGTACTTAGAGTGGAATAGTTGAAGTTGTGACTAAATGACTGTAAAAATACACAGTTCAATAACACAGTAAAAACGAATGATAAACGCTCATCCTACACAACTATTAAACATAGTTGAAATGTAACATACAATTGATGTTGATTCTAGCTTTATGATTTTGTGTGAAAGTAGTCTAGGGTAATTCTTAACTTTGTGGATGCTCCATAAATATGAAAATCGAAACCCTCATTTTTACATCCAAATATAATAAGCACAAATATTAAGTCTATTTTGGTAATCTTCCTTTAATATGAAAGTATTTCATATGTCTTCACAATGATTATGACTTTCTAGTATTCATTTTATAACTTGTCTGATTTCAGTTTTGGCACAAAATGTTTCAAAGATAGCTGGATTTTCTAGCTTTATATAGTTGATTACATGGTTAGAATGGTGGAGAAGATTTGTAGCTCAGGTGGATGATTTTGATGGAATTTTGTTCTCTGAGTTGGATGGTTTAGTCGTAGAGCTTTCATCGTCTTTCTGAACGACATCATCAGCACAAACTTTGGGTAAAAGGACGATGAAAGCTCCACGACCAAACCATCCAGCTCAGAGAACAAAACTCCATCAAAAACATGATTAGAATCTATATGACAGTTTTCACTATTTCATTCACTGTTTATCAAAATTCCAAATGTTTTCATTTATTAACTAATTAATGTGTGGTCTTTGTACATCTTTGGAATACTGATTACCTACAACATACTAAAATATCTGTAATGGATGCTTTTAAGTTGTTCGATATTTTATCATTCATTATTAGTATGACATTTTTGAATATTTCTGTGAATTTCCTGTTTAGTACTATCTTGTATTTGATTTTTTATTGAAAACTCGTACAAAATGATGTGCTGTAAATTGTTCATTGGTTTACATCCACCCTTGAATCAATATATTTTAGACCCTTACAGGTTCTGTACAGTTCATTTCTTTGCATACAGAATTGAAGGATATATTCATTCCGTTTGTTTAGTAATATTCAAAAAGAAATCTGAATGTTATCAGAAATGCATTTAAGTAATATGATAACTCATTGCATTGTATTGTTTTAGATAAAAGTTATGCATGTGAACCTAATTTCTATTTTTATTTTGTAAATTTAGATCATCGTAATTTGAATATCAAATGATGATATATTATAAGTTAGATTGACTCGTATGCATAAATAGGCATAAGGAAATCTACGATTGATCACAGAGATTATGAACAAGCGCAAGTAAATTCAAATCTGAAAACAAAGAACTTCATTCTAGTATATTTTTTTCCAAAAATTAATTGCATATTCCCACTAATATCTGAATGAGCTCACTACATCTAGAAAGAATAACGCATGAAAACTAGATATATGTTCTTCGTAGGCCATTTACTCTCTTCAGTTTATCAGATTTATCTCTTGATATATTGTTTATCTCCTGAGATGTTATAGGTGATTGCTAATTAATTACTTGGTCAAATGTTCGCCATTTTTCTGAAAGACCTTTCCAATAATTCACAATTAAAGCCAAAACATAGATCTTGACATTGAGATACGTTACCGTTTATGATTTTTCCTAATACCCTCATAAATGTTTATTCTTTAATTGAGATATGAAAGTTTAAATTCATTATTATGTTCACAAGACATTATAAACATATCATCTGAATGATTTTCAAAGACCTTAGTAGATAATCATAATGTAAAGTTCAGATCGTTACATACAAACAGTATATTATCTAAGTGTTCGAAGAAATCTTATATTTTTGAAACAATCAATTCTCTGTTACATAATCCATATTTTCAACCAAATTCTATCTAATAACCTATAATATGGTCGCTAGTCAAAAAGTTTTCAATATCACTGTTTACTTTGTTTGGTACTAGACGATCGAACTGATCCTGAAAAATTTTGAACCTTGGTTTCATGATAACTTTTTATCCTTTTAAATTCTCCTGAGCCATTGTCTGAATTTCAAACTGAAGGATGAGATTTAAGGTAAGAAGCAACAATATTTGATACTACCACGTTAAAGTGAATTTATCGGTCCGATGGGAGGTCAAGATTCATATACTTAACTATAATGACTCCGACAGGTACTGAAGGCAGTATTGTAGGGAATGAGAACACAAGTGAGGACAATCGAATATATTTTAATGCAATATTACAGAATATCTTTGTATAATTTTAGAACCATACAGTTAATATTTATTTACAAAATATCAATCAATTGTCTCAAACTTGAATGTTCCTTTTGTAAATATCAGTCAATCGTATCATACTTCATTGCTTCTTTATTTCCATACCAATTGCTTTTTTCCTCCTCGATCTTCTTGAGCTCCTGTTGACAGACATTCTATTCGTGACCAATGTTATTTACTACATATGTTGATATAAGTAGCATACACCACAATATGACTAGATGAGAACCCATATAGCGTGGAATCCAATTTTTTAATGAATACAAACCTGTTTTTAATTATCAGAAATGTTGATCGTAACATGAACTGCATTTCAAGATATTTATGATGATTTTCACTTTTTATGTTCAATAAATTTTGTACTTCAAAGCCTTCATTAAGTTGAGTTTAAGTTCTTCACATCGATATTGACTGATATAGTTCATATTGTTACGAGAAACATTAGTTCTATCAGGATAACTGATAAATCTCGCAGACAAAGATAAACTCATACTAAGAATAGAGATCAAGATATCTTATCAACTCTTTGTAAACACATTACAGGATTCTGAAGCTATATAAATCAATGTACTCTGATAAATCAAAAAGATAATTAACAAATCATCTCATTACATTCAATGTCGCGTAATTTATCCTGTTAGAAGTATTTTACAAGAGAAAGTTTTAAAGTGGCATTTTAAGGTTTTACATTTTATTGTTTTGTGAAGTATATTATTTGTATTGTAATCTCAGTTTAATTGATTATCTCACTTATTGTTGGTAATGTTAGAAGAGGAAATAAATTTAAACAATACGTTGTATTTCACTCAATGTTTGTATTTAAACTTTTTAAAGAATAAAACCATATTTTGTAACATATACGTTTTACTATGGTAGTAAAAATATCAATATAACCTGGGTGTAGTCTAAAATATCCACACAGAGTTCAAAAGTCAGTAAATTCAGTGCATTCGACCTGGAAATCATCTAGTAGTATTGAAGGAAGAGGGGCTGAATGATAATACGTTGAGAGCTATTACAGGATATTAATTGTTATTTTCCTATCACAACAATAAATTTTTATTAGAAAGGGGTTTTGTGGAGATTTTAGTAATTGTGTATAGTTTAAATCATCAGTCAATTGAAGCTTGACCACCATGGAGAACCTAGAATCACTGGACGGCCGTTTCGTCCTATTGTGGGACTCCTCAACAGTGCGCATCCACCATCTCGCCTCGCGAGAATCGAACCCAGGACCTATCAGTATCATGAGGGAGCGCTTAACCACTAGACCTCTGAGCCGGCATCTAACGGTGTTGATGTCCAAGTTCAACCGATCCGCGAAGTCGAGCAACCGTTCACCATTATCTTCAATGAGTTACTATCTCACGACAATCCTGGTTTAACTCCGGTGGTCACTGTTTCTCACTAGAACTTCAGGAAATACCTCATGGAGTCAGTCACCAGTGAGCATATGATGCGCACTGCTGAGGAGTCTCACAATAGGAGAAAACGAGCGTCTAGTGCTTCCAGGTTTTCCATGGTGGTCTAGCTTCAATTGACTCATGATTTCAACTATATAAAATAAATTTTTACTCAAGAGCTATGGTAATACATATAACTTCTGATTACTCTATATTTTTTTGCTAATTTATATTACACTCATTATGAAATAAAATCAGAAAACATTCAATTGAAAAAAACGACTATTTTTGATTTGATTCGAGTCATGTTAGATGGTGATAGATTTTCCTATCTCCAAAACATGCACACACATATACAATCAGAAATCTTTTAGAATTGATATATTCTTTTTGTCTATTTTTCCAAAAATGATTTTTGTTGTCTCCTCAACCTCTTCAATATAGTCATCTTCGTCAGCAGCCTTCTCTATAGGATAAAAGAAATATTTTAGATTGTGAAAAACCATCTATTCAACCAAATTGTAGGATTAACTAACGTTAATTATAATAACAATGAATATCTCGTTTAAATATTATTATTATTAGCTTTATTCAATATTATATTTTTGGTACAATATAGAATTCTCAGCATTAAGTACTTCAACAAGTTTCCGTTTCTTACTTCGTCGTCCTTCCTGACGATAAATATTGAGTGATCGCCAGTTAGAAGTTAGTGGCCCAGTCAATCGACATCTGGATAATGTACATTCTTCTCGCTGCATAATGCCAGCAACCACGATATCTCTGATTAGGCCTTCTGTAACCTTTACAGCGAAAGGTCTTATACTTTTGAGAAACGCACCTGAATAGGTTGTGCGATTAATAGGCATAATGATGTATTAAAACAAACGAAATCAGATAACTTGTTGAAATATCTAGAAGATAGGAACAGGTAGCCCAGAGGTTTAAACAGGCTGCCAAGGTAGCGACTTTAGCTAGAAAGTCACACAAGGGATATGCAACATGTTTTTTATTGTAGTACAATACGCTACAACATTCACCTGGAAATGGCACAATGGTTCAAATCCATGAGCAATGTATTTTGTGAAGAGGTCTTTTTTATCAGAGCACTGAGTAAGAAACCAATGGTGATTATTTCCAGTTTGAATTACGTTAAGGTATTTCAGTAACACTATCAGCTGAAATCGATGATAAAATCTTAAACTTGATATAAATAAACTTCATCGTTAATAAGATGAAAATAAAGTTTACTGATTTCCTGTATCCATGTTTGTATATCTAACTTCTTCGATGATATAAACAACAAAGTGAACAACCTATACATAATCTTTTAGTAACATTACAAATATAGAACTTATTTTTTAGTTATTGTCTAAGTAAACTCTTCAAATCCTGAAGGTCAAAGGAAAAGAGAAAGACCGAAAAACATGTTACGCCGAGAAATGGAGGCAAACATGAGAAGAATGAGCAAACGATGGATAGAACTTGAAAAGAAAGCGTAGAACAAAATGTGTTGGAGGATGCTGGTCGGCGGCGGTTGGGAGTAACAAGCGTAAGTAAGTAAACTCTTCAAAGTTGATCTAAATAATAATTTTGATTAGATTGTGATATTTTTTTAATGATGTTGATCAGTTGATACAAAGACTCAAACAAGTAGTCATATCTAATCACTGAATTCGTTTATACGTTTTTGATTTTTATTTTACTGAGAATGAAAACTATGACATATAAGCTTACTAATATCGATGAGGATTTATGTAGTTGGTTCACCTAAATTGTTACATTCCGATAAGAACAGTGAATGATAACTTTGAAATTTATTATGAACAAATACTATGCATAGATTTTTTTATTGTATAATTACTAAATTACTGAACTATTCACATTCATGTCCCCCTTATTATGAGCTTTATTTTGACTTATGAACTATTGTTATACGATTTACCAATCATGAATTATCCCCTGTCAATTAATAACAGTTCCCCCTATTCACAGCCAAATTTGGCTAAATTTTGTACATATGTTATCTTCTATTTTATAGTACAATGTGGTCTGTCTGTTTGGTATATAATCCAAGTATGTTTGAAATAAATGATTCATATTGTAGAAGTTATTATTGGTGTTCTGGAGTTAACTGGTTGGGCTAGGCAAAAAAATAAATACCGACAAATACTCTAGACTGCTCATACTTGTTTCGTGTATCATTGGTTCGATCGATAAATCGCTGCTCTCTGATTGATGATCTTATTACGTCATGCGTTAACAGGGCATCCACTCGGACACAAGTTATAACAGAATAATGATAAATTTACTAGATCTGAAGACATCTCAAATCTGCAATAATAGCTGTGATAATAAAAAATTGAATCTTATTCTTACATGTGTATTGGATCGTTATGTGTAAACAAATTATATATGATAGTTTGAAATACCTTTTAGCTAGTTTACCTTGATTTTTGGCAAATGTTACTGATTGTTGATAATTGTAATTGGATTAAAGTTATCGTTTGAAAATGTCATATGTAAAATCCAATTTTTATCGGGTTATATCATGTTTTAATATTATTAATTATAATAATAAATGGATTGAAGGATGATTGTGTTTTCAAGATTACATCAAGTTTAAATAGGTGTAATACAATGGTTTATAGTGCTTTGTTAAACTAGACTATTGTATTTTACAGTGTGGTGACATCTACCATATTACTTAAAACTAATTTGTGAGTAGTTTACATCTAATTTTTTCTAGCTGACAAGAATGTAATATGTGTGCTAATGTTCTACTTTATATTATTCACTCTTCTGTTATTCTTTAAAAATAACTGACTGAGTATAACCAAGTTAACACATAGATTAAATCTAGTATTTATGCATGATTTCATGCAGATTCTATATTTATTAACAGCAGGTTTACGTAATACTAAAAATTGAATCATTGAAACAATAGTAGCTAAGTGAATAATACAGTGGCGTTTGAAGCGAATGGTATTGGGTTCGAGTTCCAGAATGAACATAAAATCTGGGATGCAGGTACATCCAGCTGATGAATCCCAAATAGCACGAAAAGTACATCCTGGATTCCACTGCTAACCACTATCCATCTTTGCTTATAATAATCCTATACTTAATAAATATTTCAATGTAAAATTAAATGTAACTATTATCATTTATAACTATGGAGATTTATGGAGGTTGAAGTATTTTCAAAGTTAAACTAAGGAGTCAATCTAGGCTAGAACAAAATTGAAAACATGAAAACACTAGACGGCTGTTTTGTTCTTATAGTTTAGCATTTCTTAAAATGTTTCTACGATATTAGTATTATTATGAATTTTTAAAATAAATAAATAAATAATATCTCATTAGATCATCATTACCTTTATAATAACGTTTAAACATTTTTCTAATCAATGAAACAGGATTACGATTTTTTCCTTTTGTTACAACGGCAACTTTTAATCGAGTTTCTTCAATGATATCTAGAATAAATAATGATGTTGAATATGTCATTAATTCTAGGGTTGTATATATATATATTGTTAAGAATCATAAGTCTATTCAGTTGGATGTATTAAGAAAAGGAATTTCTTACGTAAGAATGTTTATATTAGAAATAAGTAATATTTAAGAGTGAAACAGTGTTTATCTAAAAACCATGGATTATGATCATTCTACATCCTGAATTTAATGAATACATAAGTTTCAAATCAATGATTTAAAATAGTGTACTTTACTAGAGGCTTGTTAATTTCTTCTTTTTTTTTATTTTTAGTGATAATAGTAGGTGAGTAATGTTGAGGAGTTATAAACTAAGAAAAACCACATATTTATTGCATTACAGACTGGATTAGACTTTAGATGAACTTAGTCCATCATGAAAATTCACGTACGAAATTAACAATTATGAAACTGTTCCATGAAATATCATTAGGTTTTATATTTGTTGGTAGTGATTAGTACACTTTAACATGGGTTATAATTGGTTTATAGGTAATAATGCCAAGGTTGAAATTGATAGATTCAAATAATCAGAAAGGGTTTTTTGGAGTGTTCAGTATTTGCATAGTTGAAATCATAAGTCAATTGAAGCAAGACCACCATGGAAAACCTGGAAGCACTGAATGACCGTTTCGTCCTATTGTGGGACTCCTCAGAAGTGCGCATCCACGATCCCACATCGCGAGATTCGAACGCAGGACCTACCAATCTCGCGCCAGAGCACTCAACCGATAGACCACTGAGTCGGCATCCGATGGTGTTAATGTCTAACTCTTCCTAGGTCCTGGGTTTGAATCCCGGGAGGCGTGGTCGTGGATACGCTCTTCTGAGTAGTCCCACAATAGGATGAAACGGCCGTCTAGTGTTTCCAGGTTTTTCATAGTGGTCTAACTTCAATTGACTCATGATTTCAACTATGCAGAAAACCTGGAAACACTGGATGGCCGTTTCGTTCCACAAAACCCCTTCTATAATTAATAAATAATATTGTTTATTTCTAGTACAAATTGTTATATCGCGATAAGAATTATGATTGGTACCTTTTGAGAACTATTTATAGACCAATATGATACGTATATTTTTATTGTATAATTGTCAATTAACTAAACTATTCATATTCACGTTCCTCTCATTATGATCTTCATTTTAACCCATAGACCATTACTATACGATTAACCTTTTTTTGAGTTATCCCCAGTCTATCAATTACTGTCTCCTACATTCACAGCCACATTTATCTAAATCTTATGCAAATATTTTCTATTTTATGGTCTTTCTGTTTGGTATATAATCCCAGTATGTTTGAAATAAATGATTCATATTATAGAGGCTGTTATTGGTGTTCGAGACTTAACTGGCTGGGCTAAGCAGAAAGCAACGATTGATATAGTACTCTAGACTACTCATACAGTTTTCGTGTATTATTGGTTCGATCGATGAATCACTACTATCTAATTGAAGGGCACAAGTGATAACACAAACATAAGTATAATATTTATACACAATTATTTACCTTCATAATATTCATCATTACTAGGGTTTTGACAATAAGCATAAGATAGGAAAATTATCCATAATGAGATCTAATATAATAAAAATTAGGTTTTATTAGTATTATTATTACCATTAAAATATGATTACGGGTAATCTTACAAAAACTTTCATGTATATTATAAATTTTAAATAATGAAAAATATTTATCCATTTTTATTACATAATCATTTATTAATTATATATACTTATTCAAATATGTTAGTTACCAATGAATTTAATATAAATAATAATGAATGGAATACATGTCATTTCACGCCCCCCCTTTCTCATTTGACATGTAACTATGATATGATTTCATTAATATTGATATTACGAAATTGACAATTGAAGGTGAAAAATTAATTTTAAAAAATGTTTGTTTGTTTGATCGGAAGTAGAAAGAGAATATTCAGGTTTTAAGTTGCTACTGTAAAATAATATCGACGTTAGATTTTAATATATGTCAGTTTGTCAGATAATCTATGACTTAAATATAATTATTATAGGTGACTATTTCATTATATCAATCAATAATTGTCAACTTTCGAAAAAGAATGATGTGAATAGTAAAACAAGAAGCCTTAACAAACTACGGAAGTCATTTCTGCGAATGTTATTTCATTTAATTCAAAGCCTGTTTAACAGTAATATTTACTTTTTCTCCTAGTCTATTCTACAGATCATAAGCTTTCGTTTTATATATGATTCACTGACATAGCCTTTCCTGTTCCAAAGCTATTGTAATTTAGACGTAACCTTTTGTACTTTAATTTCTACTTTAATCCCCCAGTTTTGAACATAATTGTATTTTTCTAATTATTGTACTCTATGGTCAGGTTAGTCATCTATTTATTCATGTATCTTTTTACACTAATCGGAAACTTGGGTACCAGCGAGTAGTGTTCCAGTCGTCTTGTCTACTCTCTCGTGCGTGCTTGTCAGTCAATCAGGGGTATAATAGTTTTCGTCTCTCTACACCTCAAGTATACTAGCCTCAAAGTTAAGCTAGTAAGCCTATCGCATCAAGGTCTTAATCTACATTAGACAAGTTATCCTAGGTACGAAGTGGGTAGACAGATCAATGACGTAACAAGGAATATCTGAATTATATTAATTCTGATAGTGCCACGTCATTTGAACTGATCGAATTCCAAAGATAATCATTTCATCTGCCCAGAAAACCGTAATATCATCTTCAAATGTAAAACTAAATGATATAGCGTCCGGCAAAACGAAGAAAGTTAATTTGTGTTATTTTTTGTGCCAAACTGTAATGAAACGCAGTTCAGAGCGCCTTCAATATCGTTCTTAATACTTGGCGTCAAAAAATCAACCCAATAGAACATAACTACTTTAAAAATACAACAGATCAGTAACCGTAAGCAAAGATGGATAGTAGCTAGCAATGGAATCCAGGACGCGCGTGTTGTCCTATTTGGGACTTGTCAGCTGAATGTATCTGCATCTCAGAGTTGATGTTCATCCTGGGACTCAAACCCAGTATCTTTCGCTTCAAACTCCATCGCATTATCCACTCGGTCACTGAGTCCTGATAGGCACTTGCTTGTGCAATGGGGTGAAGTTTAAATTCATTTAGTATTGTTTGTTTAAATCTTCCCATCGACTGTTAAGACTGCAACTGGTCAGTCTCTAATTGACATCAGTAACCATCCATTGAAGAAGTTATCCGAACAAGTAAAACAGTTTTCAAATATCTGTACATGTTAAATATTTTACTGAAATATTTGTTAATACCCCATAGAATATGGTTGGATAAAATATGATATGTAGTGGAAGATTTTACTAAAAATTACTCATATTTATAAAGGTGACCGAATTTCTGTACCTTACGTCACATTTTTGACAAATTCCAAAATCGTAGAACGGTAAGAGATGACATAGTTCTAAAACAAGTTATAGCATCAAAAAGAGATGGTATTATGTGGAAAAAATGTAACATGCTATTTTCCACCCAAAAAAATAATCAGTGTGTACATTTTTTAATGAAAAAACGCACATACGGAATAAAATCGCCGTGATTAAATATGTATTTGAATTAGAATATAATGCAAGTTCGCTTTCATATATACGATAACAAATGAGGAATGTTGGGGAGTTTATCAAACAGGTTAAGGAGATGAGTTGTCATTAGGAAATAAGTGTACATGTGTTGAATAGGTTTATTTCGAGAATTGATGGAAGTGAATAATTTTGACAAGGCCTGGAGCCCCTCTAAGGTTACTACCAGTCCCATGCCCGGATAAACGGGGAGGGTTGAGCATGCGGTTAGTGACCCCATCCCGTAAAAAACTAAATCGCTAAAAAATGCTAACCAGAAACAATAATTCAAACCATTTGAACTCTGCCCTGGGAGTTAGAAGGTCTTCAGTTAGAAGAGTTATGACGCCTCGTGATGGAAGCCGAGTTCCTTCGGAAGTCACGAGGCTGATGCCCATTCTGACAACCAAAGCAATTATAATTTTAGGGAGATGGGATGTTCCTACAATGTGGGAGACCTGGAGAGTCATCCTAATTGCTGCTGAAATAAGAGGATACAAATTGGAGGTTTTTGGAATCAGTGAAACACATTGTACAACAAAGATTAGCTACAGCGGAGCTACTGTTTTACTCCAGGCATGAAGAAGAAAATGCTTCACATGCTCAAAGCGTTCCACTGATGCTATTCAAAAAAGCACTTATAAGATAGGAATCTCATGGACCATGAATCATCAAATCCTCCTTGAAAACAAAGAAAGAGGGCATTAAAATGAACATCATCCAATGCTATGTGTCTACTAACGATTACAATGAAGACGTTAGAAACCAATTCTATTATAGTCTGCCGTCATTCCTCGAGAAGTGCTCAACAAAATACTTGACCATTCTGATGAGGGACTTAAATGCCAAGGTTGGAATGGACAACACCGGATATGAATACGTCATGGGACGAAATGGATTGACTAGGAGAAAAGAACGAAGATGTTGAGGGATACGCAAACCTATGTTCATTCAACAAACTGGTCATAGGCGGCACTATATTCCTACACAAACGCATACACAAGGCCACATGGACTTCATCGAATCATACCATACAGAACCAAGTTGACCATATCTTCACTAACAAGATGTTCAGCAGGACGACGGAGGATGTGAGAACCAGGAGAATGGCAGATATAGCCCCAGATCATCACTTGCTGGTCACGAAAATGAAACTGAAACTCAAGAAGCACTGGACAACGGGGAAGACAACATCACAAAAGTTTAATACGGCTCTCCTTCGAAATACTGACATAGTCAACAAATTAATGATAGCCCTCAACAATAAGTTTAAGGCCTTTCATGATTTACTCAATGGCGAGGGAATATCAAGGAAGGTAAAGTAATCACTAACATTGAATAACAGTGAAACAGGTGGGTAGAACACTTCAAAAAACTCTCGAATCGACCAGCTCCACTAAACCAACCCAACATCGAAGCAGCACTCATGAACCTCCCATTCGATGTTGGCCCACCAACAATTGAAGAGATCAGCATGGCCATCAGACAAATCTAGAGCGACAAAGCAGTAGGACCAGACAACATTCCAGCAGAAGCACTGTAAGCAGACGTAGCAGCAACTGCAAAGATACTCCACATTCTCTTCAGTAAGATTTGAGATGAAGAACAAGTACCAACAGACTGGAACGAAGAACTTCTGATCAAAATACCAAAGAAAGGCGATCTCAGCAAGTGTGATAACTACAGAGGCATCACACTTCTTTCAATACCAGGAAAAGTCTTCAACAGGGTATTCTTAAAGAGAATGAAGGACTCAGACTCCCAAATTCGAGACCGACAGGCTGGATTCCGTAAGGATCGATCGTGTACAGACCAAATCGGAACTCCACGGATCATTGTAGAACAATCACTTGAATAAATTTCATCACTCTACATTAGCTTACTGATTACGAGAAAACATTTAACAGTGTAGACAGGACAACACCATGGAGGCATATTTGACACTACGGTGGGCCCGAGAAGATAGTCAACACCATACGGAGTTCTTTTGACAGATTAAACCGCCATATCGTTCATTGAGGAAAACTAACTGACTCATTCAAAGTAAAGAGAGGTGTCAGGCAAAGTTGCATACTCTGACCCTTTCATATTCTCACGGTGGTCGACTGAATCATGAAGACGTCAACACCTTGAGTGAAACACTGGACACAATGGACAGCCAGTAGCGTTTCACGTGAAATGTTAGTGACATTGAAAACATACTACTGAATCGCCAGACACAATGATATTTCATGAGTGTATTTTGAACGTAGTGAAATGATTCGAAAATATTTAAATCGATTTCCAACTGCATTCTAACCACTCAACCCAAAAATTTCACGGCTATAAAAGAATGGTAAAAGTAGGCAACTAGTGTACATGTGTTGAATAGGTTTAATTTGAGAATTGATTGAAGTGAATATTTTTGACGTAATTGTCAACAATGTGAATCACAGGATGCCTATGAAATGAGTAATCGGAGATGACATTAGTTTGAATTACAGAATTATTTACTCAGTATACAATGATATTGGTAATTCTTACAAACACACAGTTTTCCTTACTATGTAATGCATGATAAACATAATCAGTGAAGTGATAATTCCTAATGTACAGAATTATTATCATAGAAACAGAATATAACAGGAGGATGGTATGTTAGATTTTCAAGTTCACCAATACAATACATAAACACTTACTTACTTTGGTTGTAGGGTAATGGACACGCACTATTGAGGTTTCCTATATTGTGACGAAGTGCTCTTAGGGCATCCACTTCTTCATTGACCGCCTAACATTTATAAGTTATTATCACTACGAAATCGAACATTCTCAGTTTGTCCAACTGATACTTACCACAAAAGCTATGATATACGTAAAAGTTGTTTTCGAGAAGACAAAGGATGCATGAGAGTTCTCTCGTCTAAAGTTTCTTTCTAAATATCATAATTAGGAAAACCACAAAGGATAGGTTGGCATCAATCTTATGTTCTATTACACATTGAATTATCAGTATTCGTCATGTCTTTTCCTAATCACTTATTCATTTTCACCAGTTCCTCAGCCATTTCGTCGCATGTTTAACCACCTTAACCAGTAGGTCACGATTATTCCTCTCTGTGTGTGTATTTCGAAACAGACATGGAAATCGGTAAACATGGTTGGAAATCACTCAATCGATTTCATGACACTCGGCATTCTGATGAAGCATGGATATCACAATTCAGTAATAATGACCAGTACTATATAGTACGATTTGTCAAATACTAACAAGGACCTTCATTTCGGAAGAAGGACACACACACACACCTCAGAATGGTGGGGTGTTATGGATAAGCGTTGAAGGTGTTAGGAGTGTAGTGGGTTTTTTCCTTTTGTGTGGAAGTGGTCGATGACTGTGAAATGTGAGATATTGTACAGTCCATGAAAACTACTATAAACTGATCGTTCAATTGAATCATCCAATAATAATTTAGTGATTAAATTTAAGAAGGAGAGTGTATCGTTCATCTCATATTTGTTTGGAAGAATGATGTGATCATGAATAGTGTGAATTTGATCATGTGAACAATTGCCGTCCTCCACTCTGATCAAAATGTTCTGGTTATTTGGATTGTATTTTGACATTACTTTGAAAAAATGAGTAGTAGAAAAACAAATTTCAAAGAATCTATACCTAGAAGCAATTTGAACATGGGATAATTTACCTTTTGCTTTTTAATTTGCAGACAATATGTACGTGACGAGTGATATAATACGGATTGCTGTTTCTCAGCGACCCATCAACTCAGCTTGATGAAGTGCAAGTGGTCAATCTAAACAGTTTTAAGAATTTTTCGTATCGATCTTACTACAGTTAATGTTAGATTACACTTCATTTGAATTTTCTCATTACATAATGGAATAATTCATTGAACAATCAAATTTTTGACGACGCGTTCACTTTCAAAGCTTTAAAATCGTACACCTATGAAGAATTACACTCTGATATGAAGTACTCATCTACCTAATGATCGCAAAAATGACTGACAGTGTTAGATGCAAAACATCACCTGGACAGTGAGAAAGTAACAGATAAACTCAACTAGTAACTCCTATTCTGGTTTACGTAAACCCTCATTAATCTACTCAACAGTAAATTATCATAAACTCTTGGTAACTGTAAACGTTTCATTGAAAATTCACATCACATTAGTCTTTCATTTTCAGAGTAATCTGATGATTTATTCAGAGTTTCACTCTAGTTTGCTTAGTAGGGTGTAGTTTGCATCCGGGAAAGTAAACCACAGATTGATATTTTAGAACAAACTAGTCAGCTGAAGTCTGGAAAATCAATGCAAATGATGCATTTCAAAACACAAACTTAACCAGATTTCTTCCTCTATAATGCAATTCACCTACCAATAATCCAACCAGTGTCTTTACTACACTCGTATGTAAACTCTTAACAAAATGAGGAGAAATTAATGATATTAGAGACCAAATCAGTCCTAACATTTACTGCTTTTGTGTAGCAAACATAAGGTGTATCGAATTCATCCTATGTCAACACTGACAATGTTTCCAGATGTATTTGAGTTGTTAGTACCCGACTGATCAAACAGTAACTATCAGTATTCCCGTAGTGTGGAAACACCCAACAATCGATTCTATGTACTGAGAAATGTGGGAATGGCTTACAACACAGTGAATAGGAATTTTTCATGTTCAATGAACAAAACGAAGAAAACTCCTTGTCAATTCAGATTGATAACTTATTATCAGTGTCACATTACTGACCAGTCACACTTCCCGTTCACTGTGTAAATTCAGTTTGAAAGTTTTGGGACAAGTAGGAAAAATTCAACATCTAGTCCTTATCACTTTCAACGCGAATGAAAACCACATACTGAGTGCTCGAGAATATTTGGGAACAAATAGAACAGTTTGCTTAGACACATCACTCTGGATTAAGGCCACAAGTGTCTGACTGTCCAATTGCTTCAGCAGACACAAGTAATTAGTCAGTCCGTAGATAGCATTCATTGATAAAAGTTATACAAGATGTTCAGAACTAAGTTTAAATGTTTGTTACTCGAATATCACGCAATAAACTGGAATATTGAAATTGAAGTTGTCTGCGAAATATACCAGGATTGAATGATAGATGGGTGCATACTACAGAAGTTTGGATGACTATGCACTATTCGTTTAATTTACCAGACTATCATTACTTCTAATAACCAAACGGAATCATGGTTAAATATGAAAACTGAAGTGTAAGATTTGTAGAACATCATCATGGAGCAATGATATATTTATTCATAGATAACCAGAAATAACACATCGATTATTCCTTCATCATACATCCTAAAGCAGTCCAGCGATCAGGTCCAGTATGATTCCACTCTGTTCAGGTTTCGGCTTCTCAACTTTGACCGCTCCATCTGGTAGCTTTGTTGACAATATCTTCTTATCCCTTCCTAATGATCTTCCTGAATAAAAACAAAGATAATAATTTACGAAATCAGACAATATTTTGATGAGCACAATTCATGAAACCAAAATACTGGTTACATGAGTGAAAACGATGCGATCAAAATATAATAATGAAATATCCGACAAATTGAGTTGTGTGAATGATACCTAGTTTGGAATGCTTCCTAGTGGGTTTGGCAATCTTCTCTGACGCTTCACCTTGTATTGCACTGGCCTTATCTAGAAGGAACGAATTAGTATTAATTCAAACATCATGATTCACCCTCTGTATCAGCTTCGATCACTTTTACTATCGTGTATAAACACATGCAAATGAAGAGTACCTATATTTTGCAAATAGTGTTATGGATTCAACCAATTCTCACCTTGATTGAGTTCATTGTTGGTGTACAATTATGACGACTGTTCAACGTCATGTGTGTGTATTTATATACATGGATGAAGTGAATCGAGAACATGAATGAATGGATTGGAGTAGATTTGTACGTCTTCATTGATTTGTTGACAATAATTTCACCTGTCATAATGTTATAGTCATGAGTTTCAATCCATTTCTCTTGTGGTCGAAATGTAGTTTTCGTGGTATGTGTCAAAGTAGAGAAGTTGTTTGATTGGAAATATCAGTTAAGAATTGACGTTGTTATTCTGCATTGTGTTTCATCTATAAACGTGTCATTGATATTGATTAACCAAAAACATCATTCAATTTATGTTTGTTAATGGAAGTGAGTTTTCATATGGTGACTATGAGTCAACCTTGCAAAGTTACTGAATTGTTAGTCACATGAAGAGAATGTGATCCATCTGAGATAAGATGAGCCGCACATCGATATCTTAAATAAGTCAGTTAACTGAAGTGTGACTTTGACACATACCACGAAAACTACATTTCCTCATTTCGACCACAAGAGAAATGGATTGAAACTCATGACTATAACATTATGACAGGTGAAATTATTGTCAACAAATCAATGAAGACGTACAAATCTACTCCAATCCATTCATTCATGTTCTCGATTCACTTCATCCATGTATATAAATACACACACATGACGTTGAACAGTCGTCATAATTGTACACCAACAATGAACTCAATCAAGGTGAGAATTGGTTGAATCCATAACACTATTTGCAAAATATAGGTACTCTTCATTTGCATGTGTTTATACACGATAGTAAAAGTGATCGAAGCTGATACAGAGGGTGAATCATGATGTTTGAATTAATACTAATTCGTTCCTTCTAGATAAGGCCAGTGCAATACAAGGTGAAGCGTCAGAGAAGATTGCCAAACCCACTAGGAAGCATTCCAAACTAGGTATCATTCACACAACTCAATTTGTCGGATATTTCATTATTATATTTTGATCGCATCGTTTTCACTCATGTAACCAGTATTTTGGTTTCATGAATTGTGCTCATCAAAATATTGTCTGATTTCGTAAATTATTATCTTTGTTTTTATTCAGGAAGATCATTAGGAAGGGATAAGAAGATATTGTCAACAAAGCTACCAGATGGAGCGGTCAAAGTTGAGAAGCCGAAACCTGAACAGAGTGGAATCATACTGGACCTGATCGCTGGACTGCTTTAGGATGTATGATGAAGGAATAATCGATGTGTTATTTCTGGTTATCTATGAATAAATATATCATTGCTCCATGATGATGTTCTACAAATCTTACACTTCAGTTTTCATATTTAACCATGATTCCGTTTGGTTATTAGAAGTAATGATAGTCTGGTAAATTAAACGAATAGTGCATAGTCATCCAAACTTCTGTAGTATGCACCCATCTATCATTCAATCCTGGTATATTTCGCAGACAACTTCAATTTCAATATTCCAGTTTATTGCGTGATATTCGAGTAACAAACATTTAAACTTAGTTCTGAACATCTTGTATAACTTTTATCAATGAATGCTATCTACGGACTGACTAATTACTTGTGTCTGCTGAAGCAATTGGACAGTCAGACACTTGTGGCCTTAATCCAGAGTGATGTGTCTAAGCAAACTGTTCTATTTGTTCCCAAATATTCTCGAGCACTCAGTATGTGGTTTTCATTCGCGTTGAAAGTGATAAGGACTAGATGTTGAATTTTTCCTACTTGTCCCAAAACTTTCAAACTGAATTTACACAGTGAACGGGAAGTGTGACTGGTCAGTAATGTGACACTGATAATAAGTTATCAATCTGAATTGACAAGGAGTTTTCTTCGTTTTGTTCATTGAACATGAAAAATTCCTATTCACTGTGTTGTAAGCCATTCCCACATTTCTCAGTACATAGAATCGATTGTTGGGTGTTTCCACACTACGGGAATACTGATAGTTACTGTTTGATCAGTCGGGTACTAACAACTCAAATACATCTGGAAACATTGTCAGTGTTGACATAGGATGAATTCGATACACCTTATGTTTGCTACACAAAAGCAGTAAATGTTAGGACTGATTTGGTCTCTAATATCATTAATTTCTCCTCATTTTGTTAAGAGTTTACATACGAGTGTAGTAAAGACACTGGTTGGATTATTGGTAGGTGAATTGCATTATAGAGGAAGAAATCTGGTTAAGTTTGTGTTTTGAAATGCATCATTTGCATTGATTTTCCAGACTTCAGCTGACTAGTTTGTTCTAAAATATCAATCTGTGGTTTACTTTCCCGGATGCAAACTACACCCTACTAAGCAAACTAGAGTGAAACTCTGAATAAATCATCAGATTACTCTGAAAATGAAAGACTAATGTGATGTGAATTTTCAATGAAACGTTTACAGTTACCAAGAGTTTATGATAATTTACTGTTGAGTAGATTAATGAGGGTTTACGTAAACCAGAATAGGAGTTACTAGTTGAGTTTATCTGTTACTTTCTCACTGTCCAGGTGATGTTTTGCATCTAACACTGTCAGTCATTTTTGCGATCATTAGGTAGATGAGTACTTCATATCAGAGTGTAATTCTTCATAGGTGTACGATTTTAAAGCTTTGAAAGTGAACGCGTCGTCAAAAATTTGATTGTTCAATGAATTATTCCATTATGTAATGAGAAAATTCAAATGAAGTGTAATCTAACATTAACTGTAGTAAGATCGATACGAAAAATTCTTAAAACTGTTTAGATTGACCACTTGCACTTCATCAAGCTGAGTTGATGGGTCGCTGAGAAACAGCAATCCGTATTATATCACTCGTCACGTACATATTGTCTGCAAATTAAAAAGCAAAAGGTAAATTATCCCATGTTCAAATTGCTTCTAGGTATAGATTCTTTGAAATTTGTTTTTCTACTACTCATTTTTTCAAAGTAATGTCAAAATACAATCCAAATAACCAGAACATTTTGATCAGAGTGGAGGACGGCAATTGTTCACATGATCAAATTCACACTATTCATGATCACATCATTCTTCCAAACAAATATGAGATGAACGATACACTCTCCTTCTTAAATTTAATCACTAAATTATTATTGGATGATTCAATTGAACGATCAGTTTATAGTAGTTTTCATGGACTGTACAATATCTCACATTTCACAGTCATCGACCACTTCCACACAAAAGGAAAAAACCCACTACACTCCTAACACCTTCAACGCTTATCCATAACACCCCACCATTCTGAGGTGTGTGTGTGTGTCCTTCTTCCGAAATGAAGGTCCTTGTTAGTATTTGACAAATCGTACTATATAGTACTGGTCATTATTACTGAATTGTGATATCCATGCTTCATCAGAATGCCGAGTGTCATGAAATCGATTGAGTGATTTCCAACCATGTTTACCGATTTCCATGTCTGTTTCGAAATACACACACAGAGAGGAATAATCGTGACCTACTGGTTAAGGTGGTTAAACATGCGACGAAATGGCTGAGGAACTGGTGAAAATGAATAAGTGATTAGGAAAAGACATGACGAATACTGATAATTCAATGTGTAATAGAACATAAGATTGATGCCAACCTATCCTTTGTGGTTTTCCTAATTATGATATTTAGAAAGAAACTTTAGACGAGAGAACTCTCATGCATCCTTTGTCTTCTCGAAAACAACTTTTACGTATATCATAGCTTTTGTGGTAAGTATCAGTTGGACAAACTGAGAATGTTCGATTTCGTAGTGATAATAACTTATAAATGTTAGGCGGTCAATGAAGAAGTGGATGCCCTAAGAGCACTTCGTCACAATATAGGAAACCTCAATAGTGCGTGTCCATTACCCTACAACCAAAGTAAGTAAGTGTTTATGTATTGTATTGGTGAACTTGAAAATCTAACATACCATCCTCCTGTTATATTCTGTTTCTATGATAATAATTCTGTACATTAGGAATTATCACTTCACTGATTATGTTTATCATGCATTACATAGTAAGGAAAACTGTGTGTTTGTAAGAATTACCAATATCATTGTATACTGAGTAAATAATTCTGTAATTCAAACTAATGTCATCTCCGATTACTCATTTCATAGGCATCCTGTGATTCACATTGTTGACAATTACGTCAAAAATATTCACTTCAATCAATTATCAAATTAAACCTATTCAATACATGTACACTAATTGCCTACTGTCGTCTCATCTCCTAAACATGTTCCACAAACTCTTCAACATAACATCCATTCTCTAATCACTTACTACATTCATTTGTATTGTCTCAACAGATGTCGCATATCATTATTGTGAAATGTATCATTCGTTCACAAATGCACACCTTCAACAGTGAAATCTCTCGTCCCTTATTTCACTGAACATTCACTATACGCTTTCCACCGATATCGAATCACGTCACTACCTTCAACTCAACTATGAAACAAGCAAAATAGTTAGAACAACATCGAATTCCCTTTCATTTCCTTCTTCCAATTCTTCTTCTTCATTAATGTAACATGATCAATCAAATCCAACTTCCATGTTGTGTGCACTCTCTTCACGTTTTCATCAATCAATTCAGTCGATCGACTTCAGGTTGCCATGTGATAATATTTTTCATTGCGATGTCCAATTATTACAGATCAAATTGTCAATTTAACTATAGTTCGCAATACTGCTGCAAAAATGATAAATTTACAAACTCTTTGTTGATTTGTTTAGTGATGCTACTTGTATGTACAATGGGTATGTGATATATAGTATCTACTTATTAGTGTTTATGACATTTCTGAGACTTTTGTATAGTTCAATAAAGATGGAAAGTATGTGTTTGTGAATTTATTTGACGAATTATCGACATATATGTTCCAGCTTTTGTGATAATTATCAAATGCTTTTCTGTATTTGTTGAGGATGTGATATATAAAGCGAAGGTCTGTGTTGTCAATAATATATATTTGTAATGTTTGTAGTCTACCAACTGGTCGATAACACTTTCAGCTCATAAAATTGAACACAATACATTTGAGATTTCCTTGAACTACTGGTAACTAAATAGAATAGATTGTGTATATACCTTTTGTAACTATCAATTGTATCAAACTCCAAAAAAATGTTTCAAAGCAAATGTTAATTATCAAAAAGAAGACAACTTGCTGTAATCACAGTTCTGAAAGAAAGTGGAGAAATTTAGAAAATCAGTGAGG